AAATGCAAAGCTGATTTTATCTGCTTAGTGTAGTTATCAAACTACACCACCGCCAAAACTGAAATTCAAAATTAATCTGGAAATAATATATATTATTATATATTATATTATTAATCTGGAAATAATATATTATAATATTTATATTTATAAAACAATACAAATATAAGTATTTATCGTCAGAGTTTCATACATCAATAATTTACTCAGAAGAAAGAATGGAGAAAATGGGAATAATGGGGGAGATACTACGTTTGTGAGCTTTAGTTCAATAAATTTCTATTATACATTCTTAATGACTATTGCAATGCTGTACCTCAAAGTGGTAGGGTTAGAGGTAAAAGAGGGAAGAAGAAAGGAAGACTGAATGAACAAAAAGAGAAATTGGGACAGGGAAGAGTAAGGCTGAATTGCATGCCTTAACTTCAAAGAGGTTATCAGTGGACATGAATAGTAAATAATAAATATGAAAGCTTCTTGCAGGTAGTCTTCGACATTGAACCATTGGTTTAGTGACAGTTCGAAGTTGCAATGGCATTGAAAAAAGAGATAACTTTCACAGCATCGCTACAGTCACTTGATCAAAATTTGGTTGCTTGGCAACTAACCTGTATATACAATGATTTCAGTATCCCAGGGTCATGTGATTGCTATTTGCAATCATCCCAGGTAGCTTTTGACATGCAAAGAGAATGGGGGAAGCTGGATTCACTGAACAAGTGCAGTAATTTGCTGAAGAATAATGGCATTAAGGTCATAGAATAGAGCGTGATCTACTTAACTACCTTGCTTAGCAACAGAAACTCTGGTCCCAATTGTGGCTGTAAGTCAAGGATTACCTGTATAATAGGGGGATTTAAGTATTGGAATGTTGAAAACTGAAAGGAAAAGGAGGGTCATTCCGTTATTAATTTGTGAGTTCAAAATGGCTCAACTTTATTTTTTATTGGCTATAATTGCATCAATTCACCAGTATAAAGCATCTGATATTATCAAATAAGATAAAGGTTCCCCTTGCACATATGTGCTAGTTGTTCCCAACTCTTGGCAGCAGTGTTCCTCTCCATTTCAAAGCTGAAGAGTCAGCGCTGTCCAAAGACATCTCCGTGGTCATGTGGCCTGCAGGACTAAATGCCGAAGTCGCACAGAACACTGTTACCTTCCCACCAAAGTGGTCCCTGTTTTTTACGTGCTTTCAAACTGCTAGGTTGGCAGAAGCTGGGAAAAGTAACGGGAGCTCACTCCGTTCTGTGGCACTAGGGATTCGAACTGCTGAACTGCCAACCTTTCTGATCGATAAGCTCAGCATCTGAGCCACTGAGCCACTAGGATCAAATAGTTTTATGTAAAAACCATAGGGCTTCTCCCCATCTCCCAGCATTAGAAGTGAAATAGTAAAGCTTAGAGAGCTAGAAACATTAAGAATGAAAACCAATACTTGTGATTTTACCAAGCATGCATGTTCCCACAAAGTTCCGCCTTGCCCATTTGAGAATCTAACGAAGCTCTGCCGGTAAAATGATACACTGATTCCCTACAATCTAATTAAGCCTGGTTTCGATTGTTTGAGTTCATTTGTCTTCAGTGCCATCAACAATGGAGGAGAATCTGGAAATGTTTGTTTCTCAGTGATTTATTTGGCTATGTTTACCTCTTAACAGTTTGGCTACAAATATTTAAACAAAAAACCTGCTGAGGACAGAATTTGAGCTCAGATGACTGTATATTTGTAAGAAATAAATGGTGTGCCTTTCCAATTCCTTCCATGCTGACAAGTAATCATGCTTTCAAATTTGGGAGAAGAGGACACTTTTTAAGGCAATAATCCATGCAATTTGCCAGTACATATAGGGTTTTTTTTGCATCTTGGTTCCCTTTACTATAATTTGATAAAGGTACACTAGAAGGCCATTTCTCTTCCCTTCATCTTAAGGAAGTGTCCTATGTACTTGTGGCATGATATAGATGACATCATTTTGACAAAATCAGCAGATAACAGAATAACAGAGTTGGAAGAAATCTTGGAGGTCTCTGGTCCAATCCCCTGCTCAAGCAGGAAACCTTGTACCATTTCAGACAAATGGTTGTCCAATCTTTTCTTTAAAATCTCTACTGTTGCAGCACCCACAGCTTCTCGAGGCAACTAGTTCTACTGATTAATTGTTCTAATTGTTCCTAATGTCAGGAAGGTTCTCCTTATTTCCAGGTTGGTTCTCTCCTTTATTAGTTTCCATCCATTGCTTATTGTCCTGCCTTGAAGTGCTTTGGAGAAAAGGTTAACTAATACACCCACCCACCCCTTTTTTGTGGCAGTCCCTGAGATATTGGAATGCTGCTATCATGACACCCCTAGTCCTTCTTTTCTTAAAGTAAACATATCCAATTCCTGCAACCATTCTTCATATGTCTTAGCATTGAGTCTTCTAATCATCTTTGTTGCACTTCTCTGCACTCTTTCTATAGTCTCAACATCTTTTAAATTATGGCAACCAAAACTGGATGCAATATTCCAAGTGTGGTCTTATCAAGGCATTATAAAGTAGTAGTAATACTTCATGTGGTCTAGATGCTATCTCTCTATTAATGCATCCTACGACTGTGTTCTCTTTTTTGGCAGCTGCAGCGCACTGCTGGCTCATATTTAAGTGATTGTCCACTAGGAGACCAGATCCTTAAATGTCTTTCTGTCCTATGCTCTAAAATCAATTATCTGGAATTATTTCTACTACAAATTCCAAGGGCTGAAATTGGATTTTATTTATTTTTTGCATACACTCTTAGAAAATTCAGTGTTGGTTGAAAAACCCTGGAAATCAGCTTCAGATACGTTGCTCATAATTTTAATATTTAACCCAAACAAGAAAAAATGTTCAATTATATTACCCAATGGGCTATAGCTTGTTCTAGAACCAACATCTCATTAAAAACACTGTCCATGCAAAAATGTGTATGAGTGAGAAGTTAAAGGAGAGATATCAACTATTTTGTTTTGGGTCTGCAGTAAAGAAAATAAATAGAAATAATACTAGTTGTCAGATAACAAGAACTGATATGATAGAATGTAGCCTTGTGCAAAGCAACCACCTAAGCTGGAAACCTTAAAATGTCCAAAATCTTATCTTTAAACACTTACTTGGGAACTGCAAATATGTTTATTCATTGCATGGTGATAATGTGGAAACCATTCAAGGCTTTGCTATTCTATAACAATTAGCTCACAATTAGTTGAATATGAAGAATGGTGTACATAAAAATATAGATTCTTACTCTCTGGAAATCATATTTCTGTATTAATTAAGAAAAGTGGAATTAAGCTTGAAATAAAGTAGGTGATAAAATTTGTAAGGCCAGGCTAAAATTAGGGTCCACTTATTCATAATATTATTTTAGCATTTGTAATAAAGTAAAATATTATAATATTACATATAAAAATAGATGGTGATTTTCTTATTTGCTATTATAAAATATGATGAAAAGCATATTCATCATGATCCACAGCTACAGTTTATGGCAATAAATTTGTATGCAACCTTTATGCTGAAGTTGGAAAAGGCTACAAATGGTATAAAAAAAATTAGTTGTTCAATAAAAGGGAAGCTGTGAAAGTATTCTTGTGATAATATATAGATTCTGCTGGGGTTAAAATTGTTTTGTGTTCCAATAGATGCTTAGTCAAGTAAAAATCAGGAAGAACTCAATATGTCTCATATTGATTTTTTTATTTATATAAATCAGCAAAGATCATTAGAACATGATGGGTTATATTTACCTGAATTTATTGAATAGGGTGGCCAGAAGTTATTTTATGGATTTTTCAGAAAGAAAAAGAAAAAAAATCACTGCATTAAACATTCATGGAATTCTTAAATGTACTGCTCTAAGCAGTTGCACTATTCTATACATGCACAGAATTTTTACATTAAGAATTAGGAGAATGAACCTCAAGTTCACCTAGTTTGTCTTTCATTCAAAAATACTGGCTCTGTTCTCACAACAAGCTTAATTGGGTCAATTGTATGTTTAGTGTGAGCACTTCAAAATCACTAGATCAGGCCTGTCAAACAGGTGGCCCACAAGATGGATGGGTCACGCACAGGCCATGCCCACCCCAATTCTGCAAAGGCAAAAACACGTTATGATATGTCATGATATGTCACGTGACACAATCAAGTTTTGACACCTATGACTTAGATCAGTGATGGCTAACCTTTTTGTTGTCACGTGCCGAAAGCATCTGTGTGCATGTGACAGTGCACGTATGAGTGCCACACTCATATTGCAAAGCACACATGACACCTGCCTCTGCCCCCTGGCTCAAGGTTGACTCAGCCTTCCATTCAGAGATGGTATTCAGCAGGTTCTGGAGAACCGGCAGCAGACATTTTGAGTAGTTTGGAGAACCAGTATTTACCACCTCTGACTAGTGCCACCCCCATCTATTCTCTGCCTCTCAAGTCCCAGCTAATCAGGAAGAATTGGGGATTTTGCAGTAACCTTTCCCTGGAGTGTGGAGGGAATGAGGATATTGCAGTAACCTTCCCCTGGAGTGGGGAGGGAATGGAAATTTTACAGTAACCTTCCCCTGGAGTTGGGAGGGAATGGGGATTTTGCAGTAATCTTCCCCTGGAGTGGGAAAGGAATGGAGATTTTATAGTATCCTGCCATTGGAGTGGGAAGGGAATGGAGATTTTACAGTATCCTTCCCCTGCCAAGCCATGCCCACCAAGCATGCCACACCCATCATGCCACAGCCACAGAACTGGTAGTAAAAATATTTGAATCCCACCACTGCTTCCATCCTTCCAAAGTGGGTAAAATGAGGGCACAGATTGTTGGGGGCAATATGCTGACTCTGTAAACCACTTAGAGCGGGCTGTAAAAGCACTATGGAGCGGTATATAAGTCAAAGTGCTACTGCTATTTGCTCATCAGCTTCATACTGCAAACCAAAGGACCTATGGTTTAATCGTTAACACATCTGTTTTGTTTATTAATATTTCCAGGTTGGTGGTTTGATGCCTGTGGCCCTTCCAATCTTAATGGAATGTTTTATTCAGCTGGACAACACCATGGAAAAATAAATGGAATCAAATGGCATTACTTCAAAGGTCCAAGTTACTCATTACGTTCCACAACTATGATGATCCGTCCCTTGGACTTTTAAAGAGGCAATAAGATAGTGGCCATCTGAAGGACACCTTGTGTAATCTTTAGAAGCAGAAGGTGGAAACTCCCTGAAAATGCTGAATTCCAATATCCTAGCCGTCTTCGGATCTTATTTCACTGGCTGCAGTAAACAAAGACAAGTCACTGTCCAACCTAGGGACAGGTGAAACTGTGGATTATGAATAATACAAAATAGCTTTTGTGGCTATTCAGTGGACAACTTTAAGGTTCGGTTGCCACCAATAAACTGGTATCTTTTAACCAAAGCCTTTTTTGTTGTTGTTTTGCTTTGAACAAGCAGATTTTTTTTTAAAATATAGGAAATGCAAACCAAGTGGCCTTTTGAAAAAAAAACAGAAATAAAGTCTAATGGATGGCAGAAGATGTTCGTCTGTCAAGAAAATGGTATCAACTCAATGCAGAAGCATGACTGCTATTTATTTGTAGCCCCTTAAAATGCAACTATGGCCTTACAACCTGGCATCAGAAAATGGGACTGAGATAGAAAAAAATATCTTTAATACCAGAACAATATGGATTATATGAGTCATTTCTCATTAAATCTACGTGAGACATGGAGCATCCTTCAAAGAGACAATGAATCAAGTTGGACAGAAAAATAAGAGCAATAGGTTGCGAATTGTTAATTGACCTGAATGGCTAGGCTAAAATTTGGCAGTCCAGATAATTGGGCTTTTCCAAATATTTCAACTATGTTTGATAGTATGACAACAAAAGGGATTATTTTTCTTTCTGACTGCTACAGCTTTACTTTGCTTTATATGACATTTCAGTATGAACGTCGTATGAAAAACAAAGAAAAAGAAAAAGCACATCTTTTTTAAAAAAATGCAGAATCAAGGTTATTTGTACATAGATTTATGACATGGATACACAAATACATAAACTATGCAAATATCATAACCATGTATTAACTGGATTTACTTTATCAGTCTTGCTGGTTTGCATGTAAATGTTACTAGTAAATTGCTAGACTTTCACACCTGCTATTCAACCTTCATTTGACAGAGTTCAACAGAAAACAATGAGTTATTTCCTATATTTAATTTACACCTTTGGACAATGGGTTGGAAATTAAGGAATACGAGAGAAGAAAGAAATCACAGATATGAATTGCAAATGCCCTGAATTGAAAGCAGTTATAATTGAGTGGATCAATTTAAATGGGAAAACAAGACATTATTTTAAATGAATAGTACTAACATGTAGTTCCCTACATCGTGATCTACAGTAGATGGTACACATAATCCTGAATTCAGAGATTTCAAAGATTGTGGGTTATTGTGTTTGTTTCCAATACATCCACATCCAAAATTCAATGTGCATTCTAATGAGTGTTGAAACCTAGTTCAGATATTTGGCCAAGGTGACAAGGTCTTTCATTGATCTTTCAGCTTCCAATGTACATTTAGCATTAGACACAATACCATATTAGAGGAACATTGGCAGTTGAATCAAACCATCAACTCATTTCATTCCTATTTTTATGGTTTCAGAAATGCATAGACTTTGGCAGTAAGCTGTTGCCTATCATTTCTATGTATGCTGATCATTTACATATAAACATGATATTACTTATTTTTATCTGTATCCCATTTTTCCCTTGGGAAGATTATATTAATTTGTTGATTCAGCAAAATATACATATGTGCCTTTAAATATTTCCTCAAAATAAAGAGGTTTATGATAAGCAAAATACGGGATGATAATTTAGAACTTTTATACATTTGGTCTTTTCACTGAAGTTAAATGGGAAATTTTGCACCTGAATTCTTCAGGGAATGCAGGGAAATAGTGGGCATTCATGTACCGACCTCTTGGCCACTGTGTAATAAATAAGAACAGAAATGTTAAAGTCTGCCCATGACGAATTTAAAACAAAATCTATGAAAAAGAATTCTGAACCACCAAAGCAAAGGAAAACTGGTTTAAAAAAGGTTTTTTCCCCCACCCACCATTAATTCATGCAGATTCGTGTGAAGTGGAGAGACTCTATGGTTCAGGGGTAGATTATATTGACATGTAGAAGTTCTAAATCCTGTTCTTGTATCGCAAGAGCCATGGTGACACAGTGGTTAGAATGCAGTATTGCAGGCTAATTCTGCCCACTGCCAACAGTTCAATCCTGACTGGCCTAAGGTTGACTCAGACTTCTATCCTTCCAAGGTCGATAAAATGAAGACCCAGATTGCTGGAAACAATATGCTGACTCTGTAAACCACCTGTAAAGCACTATGAGGTAGTATATATGTCTAAATGCAATTGCTATTGCTATATCTGAAAGTTGATAAAACAATTGAAATGATACAAGTGCCTACCTGAGCTATCCTATTATCACAATTGATAATCTGGGACTAGATACAGAAACTGTATGATCTGGTAATTCATCTTTTTATGCTTCTGTCTTTCTGAGCTATAGAATGAGTTTCTCATTTTCTCCAGCCAGTAATTATTCCCTTTCTATTATGTACATAACTGGTGGCTCTGAAATTAAAACATCATTGGGTTTAACCAATGCCTGAGCCTTTTTAAATTATTTTAATTAATAATTTCTGTTGTATCTAATACAATGGTCTCAGCTTCCTCTTAATCCAGGGAAATCATCTTTCTTCCATGCATGGGAACAAAACACACTTTCATTTTTAAAACAAAACATGAAAAAACAAGGATGTACCACAGTGCTCTTTGTAATTGGGACAAAGTTAAATTGTGTATTTATGTATTTGTTTGTATTTACATATTCCTGTCTAAGGGGTTAATTTGTTGTTTCTTCTGGTTAACTTTCCTAATTGTTCTTTATTCAGTCGTCCCTGCCAACTGTTGGTTTTTCTCTTATTTCAATAATATTCATTTATATCCAAAGATTGTGGTGTTTCTTGTGAGTGGCATTTTTTTTAAAGTCACCAAATCCAGACTGCTATTGCATGGACTGAATGGCAAAGGGGGAGGGTTTTTTTTAAAGTCAAACCTACAAGCATATTTACTGTTTATTTATCTCTGTTTGAAGAAATGGGGGACATGATTTCTTATCCTTTATAATAAAATGTTTAAAACACGCTAGATGGTTCCATATTTTGACTCAGTTGGGAAATGCATTCTTCTGGCAGACCTGCCCTTGAAATTCAACATTTTAAAAAGAAAGATGAAGAATATTTCACATCACAGATTCTAAAAATGTTACAAGGGTGTGTGATGGCTCAGCGGTTAAAGTCGCTGAAGCTGACAGCCCAGGTTTGAGACCCGAGTGTTGCGTAAAAGAGTAAGCTCCCATCCTTGCCCAGCTCCTACCCACCTAGCAGTTCAAAACAGGGGTGAAATCCACTTATCTTTGCTACCGGTTCAGTAGCAATGTGATACTTCCAGTGCAAGAGCGGAGCATCAAAAAGGTAAGGTAAGCAAACAGCAAAAGGGGGGGATAATCTGCTGTGCCGCATGATTTATATTAGCTAGAAAGCAGGAAATCCTGCTTTCTAGCTAATATACATCGCTTGTCACAGCTGATCGTCAGAAAAACTGGTTCGCTTGAACTGGTTTCATTTATTTTACTACTGGTTCAGGCAAACCAGTAGCATTTTTACTACAGGTTCGGATGAACCAATCTGAACCAGTAATATTTCACTCCTGATTCAAAAGCATGTAAATGCAAGCAAAAAATTATCACTTCTATAGGAAGGTAACAGCATTCCGTGTGCCTCGGAGTATAGTGTGCTAGCTACATGATCATGGAAATATCTTCAGAAAATGCTGGCTCCCTCAGCTAAGTAAAGGAGATGAGCACTGCCCCCTAGAGCTGAAAACAACCAGTCAGGGGAAATCATTACCTTTAACAACTTTACATAAAGGAAAGTGTTTTCTTTCTCAATAATATACCTTCCCCCCTTTTTTCCTTGTCTTTTCTTTTGATGTTCCAAATGCTGATCTCAGCCAACCGATTATTATACGATTTGGATTTTTATTTCTTTGCTAATTATGCCTGTTCCTCTGGGTCATTTACTTTTTTACGACCTCCTTAATTACTTTTCATTCTTTAATCATTCATTCATGAAAGTTGGCACTCTCAAGCGATTTTAATTCTTTTACCCAGAGCCAGATATTGTTTCCCATAGGTATTACGGAGGGAAAGTATTTTAACCATTGCTTTGAAATAGATTCATTCACATTTTCCAAGGAACTGAACTGCAATTGGACTTCTTCAATGAGCACATCGATGCCAGACTAACTTGTTTTACAAAACCAGAACAAAAGCCAGAGGCTGATGAAACAGTGTGGTTTAACTCCTAACAAATAGTGCTAGATTTCCAGAGGAGGAGCAGGGGAGCATTATCTCATCAAAGTGAATTTTGTGTTAGAATTTTGTGATGGTGGAATTTATGATACATAAATGGAGTTGGATTAATTAGAGCAGATCCCCACTATTATAACTCCTCCTCCTCCTCCTCCTCCTCTTCCTCCTCCTCCTCCTATTCCCAGCTTTCATGCTAGGATACTAAAGGCAATGGCCAAGATTTATATCCAGCATAATAACATGAGTTTAGGGGGATAATGTGAAGCTGTCAAAATAGAAGTCCCCTTGCAAGCCCTACTAAGACCCCCACATCTCTGAAGGCAGGAAGAGGGGCCAACCAAAATTCCTTCCAGTTGGATTTATTTCAAAGTACCATTGAAATAAATAGTAGCTTCACCACATTTTGATTATACCAACCAGAATTATAATATTCAGCTGTCTAAAACTTCCAGGACTGTGGGATTAGAGAAAACTGTATCAGCTTTAAAATGAGAAACATCCTCGTATGGAAGCGTTCACACATTTTGAAAGCTCTCAAATGGTAACACAATCCTGAACTATTTCTCCCAAAGACAGGCTAAGATTATGGATTTAAATCAGACTTTCTTCTTAGAGTCAGATATCTGTATGAGAAGGGTAAAACTGTCTCACAATTTTTTAGTTTGTTGCCACCTAAGCTAAACTATTTAAGCATGAGACAATCTACATTTCATTAATTGACACAATTTATAGCCTCTTGAAACTTTCTACCAGCTGATCTCTAAAGCTACAATTCAACCTTGAATGTGAAAGCCTCTGGTAATTTAATAAGCAGAGAATCTATGTTGGTGTACAACATGGGAATTAAAGGATTTAAATTCCTATTACGAATTATCAAATGGCAACATTGAAATATTGATTGGTTTCAAACCCTAAAATGCATGACACAACCTAGAACCATATGCCGAACCTATGGCACGCATGACAGAGGTGGCACATGGATCCCTCTCTGTAGTCATGCTGCTCTCCTGGTTTCCTATGTGCACATGCACGCCGGCCAGCTGGTCTTTGCAAGCGTTGGAGCACCAGAAAACGGCCCGAAAATGGCCCGAAAAAATGGCCAAAAACCAGGCATGCGTGTCCTGCCCAGCTGGTCTTTGGGTGTTCCAGTGCTTCGACATGCCCACATGCACATGCGTTCCGGTTTGAGCACTCAGTGCCAAAAAGATTCACCTTCACTGACCTAGAAGAACAGTTACTTTCTTAAAGATGTTAGTCGTAGTGCTATACATTAGTATACTTCAAGAAATACTCTATATTTCTATCTTGGGTAAGAAACTGATCATTCAGAGAAGTTAACTTTAAGAAATATTTATTCTTCCATATGTAGATATTGATTCATTCTCCAGAAAGCCTTTCATGCTTAAATTTAGAAGCAGTGTCTTCTCTGAAAGAAATTATAAACCTCTGGTTTCTTTACATTTAGAACCATCATTGAACAGTTAATTTATTTTCTTTGGGAAGACGGAACATAACTTCATGATGTATATTTTCTTTGCTTCTTTCAACCTTTAAAAGATTTTGGCTTCAGTCCTTGACTCATGTCCCTTATATGTTGCTGTATGTTTCCTGTTCTGGGAATGTGGTTCTTATAGTAGAATAGCCAAACAAATGTTGGTCTTCTCAAAACTGGAAGACAAACTTCTTCCAATGCTTTAAGAAAACAATTAAACATCATTGTGATTGCCTTAAAGCTTCTTTGTTTCCTAAAAGAGAGAAAAAAAAATACTAAAATCAGAACAGGATATTGGGGCAAGCTGTTGAGAGCAGATTTTCCTAACCTAGAAGTATGGGAATCAGAACTGTGATCATGCTGGTCCTGAGCATTGAGATCAACACATTTGGAGGATGCCAAATTTGTTAAACCTGATCTAGAGCCTTATAATTAGAACCATGGTTAGTATATAGATATCATTAGTTCTACAGAGGAATTATTGAGTCTGTCTGCCTGATTTGGCTCTGCAACAGAACAAGACAGGCACAAACTTCAGAGGATAATTAGAATTGCAGGAAAAACAAGTGCTACTAACCTGCCTTCCATTGAGGATCTGTATACTGCATGAATCAAAAAGAGGGCTGTGAAAATATCTACACACCCCTCACATCCTGGGCATAAATTGTTTCAGCTTCTATCCTCAAAATAGGTATAGGGCACTGCACACTAGAACAGCTAGACACAAGGACAGTTCCCCCCCCCAAATACCATCTCTCTGCTTAACAGCTAATTCCCACAATACTGTCAATAATTTACTAAGAATGTATTACTATTTTCTTCTCTTCCTTCCTAGTATCTATCTCTCCCCACTTATGACTATAACCATGTTGTCATGGTTGTATCTTTCAATTTATATTTTTTTTATTGTTTCCTAATATGATTTGATAGCTTATTAGTACCATTGACTATCACTAAGTGTTGTATCTTTTTATTCTTCATGAAGGTATTTTTTTCTCCTTATGGACACTGTGGGCATATGCACCAAAGACAAATTCCTTGGCCAATAAAGAATTCTGTTCTGTTCTATTGGAACCTGTCCATCACAGTCGTAACTCATGGTGGTTATAAATAGAATCATGGTGGGTGATTTTATGGTTGGTGGGTACATGACCAACCAAATTTTCCATTTTTTACAATGATCATTAAGCAACACCACAGTTGTTAAGTGAACTAATCATTTGCTGTGGACCAGTTTTGCCAAAAACTGAAAAGAAACACTGGTTTACAGCAAAACCATTATAAAACATAGTCATGTGATCATGGAACACTATG